CAAACGGGTGGTCGTGAAAGGCTGCTTACTGGTGTACCTAGCTGAGATAAATGTGCCACAAACTCTTCCTACATCCAGCATCAAACAACGAAAAGCTGGAGACAGAATCAGGAAATGTTGTTCTGGACATCACTTGGAATCAATGCCAAAACCGGGAAGATGCCATCCTGTGGGAAGTAGGCTAATCTACTCCGCCCAGTGTATGACGCGTCACTACACGCAGCCTCCTCGGTGGCGTACCACGATCACTAATGGAACACTTTATTTGTGTAAATGTGGGCTACCTATACTTTGATAATGAGTAACTGCTTTTTATCTAATCTGAAAGAAATATTGAAAACCGCCACTCCAAAGCTGCAAACGAAGTTGTAATTGCTCAGAAAATGAGGTTTCCAGTTTTCTCCTAAATTCCAGTGTCACAGTAACATTTTGCTGGCGTGCTTAAAAAGAGGCAGTTAAAAATCAGCATATTTCCTAAAATAATCCAGCTTTTCAGGATTCCGAAGCTCATTCTAGTGCTGGTTTCACGATTTTCTAAAACAAATAGAAAAATGAAGGAAATCTAAATGCTCAGCCAAAGATGCGTCAGTCAACGTGTCTGCTACCGTCGAGATTCGTAAGATCTATGTTATTCGGAGCGGACTGAAAGTTTTTTGTTCAGGAGACAGTGTGTTGCGATTAAGCGATTTCACATAAGATACACTTGTCAAACTTGTATGTTCTGATTTGCTCCTGTAAAGCGCGCATCACCCATTTCGGCTTTGCTACAATCAACTGTTGTAGGAGCAACGCAATGAATTGTTTTCGTCGATTAAATAAGCTTGGCTCGATGTAATGAAATTAACGTACTCTTTGAAAGTTCGGTGGTGATTTGCCGTATCAGGTTTCCAACAAAGGACAGGTGTTCCGCTTGGGAAACAAACATGAGGTTTGGCAGGACACCAAAAGTTGGTTTCTGCTAACCTGCGGATGTGCTTGATTTTAACTCTTGACCAAAAAGACCACACTTAGGATTAGCCTTAATAACTTTATACCTCGGCTTCTTTCCCGTCTGCTTTTGAGTAGACAGGTAGGCAAACACCACAACAAAAGAAGGCCAAGTCATGTGGCCCGTTATAAAGTGGATCTCCCATAGACACTGATCAACACCCCATCTTGATTGTACTAATGAATCCCCGAGTGAATTGGACTGTAGAACGAGCACATTTATCCTTAGCTACCACATCTTAGGTTGTTGCTGAAGACCAGTTTGTCGATTTGGTGAAGGCTACTAAATAAAGGATTGGGCTACTTGCTTACCTTTCGGTAAACTTGTTCCCACGCATTTTAATTGTTTATCTTTTCTTCGCACAATTAACTCTATCTCCAACTTTTTTCAGTGATGTTTATGCACCGAGGTGGAGATTGTTGACATCACTCATTAGGATGTTGCCAGCGAGTGACCTGTTCAAATTCGTGCCTACTCATGTCGCAGTAATCCGCAACTATCTCAAAAATTAGGGCCGATATCATTCTGTTTGTAATTGCATTTTACAGTAAGTGGACAGAGGACGTTAGTTGGCATTGTTATCCTCATCTATATCAAATGACTCATCGCTGTGGCAGTCCACGATTGATGCCACCAGAACAGATGTTCGCTAAAAGGCTAAAAACCTAGCAAAGTAATAGTCCGTCCTTACTGGCTTCCATTTGCAACATTTCCGAAGTAAACTATGAGAGAATCGGCTAATTTAAGATTAGGATCGTACACCACATAATATTGTATCACCGCATTCTGGTGATTTCTCAAACGTGATTCAGCCCCGCACTATAATAAACCCATCGAAAACTCTGAAACATCTATGATCAGCTGAGTAAGTTGCTGACGAACTGGAGCCAGGCGACTTCCGGGGGTTCTTCGGCAAGGAACAACCACGTTGTAGCGCTGACGAGCTGGGCTAAACGATCATAGCTTTTGATGATTCGCACAGTTTCATAGTTATCATTCCGATATTCCACACAGCAGACGAAGTTGAAACTGATGACTGGGTGAGCACTGCGACCCAACGGGCAGTCTACAACCAAAACATCAAGCATATGCTCCTTGTTGGTAAGCAGAAGATCCAGCACAGATGGCCTGTTACTTGTTCTGAACCGAATGGGCGAAGTGCTGTGAGTATAAAGAGGAACACTGGTTCCGAGCTTTTGTAGATCGGGTTTGAATTGTTCTCCGATCGTGGCAGGGGTAAACTAATCAATGTACGTTAAAAGCACCCATGATAAGTATGTGAGTGTATCTTCCCTTTAGGATGCGTCTTAATACAGCCGCCAGTTGGCAGTCGGTTTCTGGTGTAGAGTTAGGACGCAGTACGCCAAGGCACCAAGGCAAGCCTGTCTGCTTTTTAACTGCAAGCTGCACCAAAGAGAGTTGGGGAACTGGAGTCTGAATCCTTCAGGGTTTCGGACCGCATGTTGCTTCGGTAATAGAGAAGTATATCTCTATTTGTGAGTCCATCGTTCCGGATCAGCGATATGCCCAGTAGCGAAATTTCAGCGTCTGTCATTTCAGTGTACAACCAGTTCTCTGTGATACTCATGATATCATATGACCTGCGAAATTAGCGATCTTTCAGTTCGGCCAGTTTCTTGAAAAAAACCTTGAGGTTCTTATACAAGCAGACTAGTTTCTCGGACTTTAGGAGCCCACAGGGGGCTAAAGGGTTAAGTGTGGGAGAATGCCGACCGATAGGGGGTCGGCAGTTATTCGTTTTTGGATGGAATAATGATACCTCGTCTGTAACTTGATTCGGCCAAGGCGCGTCACAATTTTCGTTTAGACCTATGTCAGTGTCGAGTAAAACAGCAATCAATTGAATCTCCTGTATCATCGCCGGTACCTTTGCTGCTTCATATGGTTTGAGTTGGGAATTTTGCAAAACTTCTGAAGCTTATAACCGATGTGGTACCATTCGACCGTTGCAGCAACACTAGGGTCGGTCTGAAACACACTTAGATTTCCGTTAACCCTGACGATGCACAATGAATTATCTATCATGTTAACTTTTAACTGCCTTCGATATTCGTGTGTGTGAAACTACAATTGCATTAAGGGGCATTTTGAAGGACCCGGTTGTTTGAATGGATTGAGGCGCGCAATCTCAATACGGAACGCGATTCGCATCGAGGTTAAGTTCGGCTAATTCGAGCATTAGAATGGTAAATGAAATATATGGGGAAAGATGACATTCTCCTGCGTTACAAACCAATCACAGTAGTGGGGTTCGCCGGTAGATAGTTCGAAATCTCGGAAACTGAAACATATGCTCGAGGTTTCAGGGGGCACTGAGCAGAGGTACAGTTCCTTCGAGCGCATTAATAGTGAGAGCGCGGTTGCGCACAGTTAAACAGTGAATTGAGCAGGAACGATTGGCTGAAGAACGAAACATGGCATGTCTTATCGGAGAATGCATGTACCTAAAAGCAGTAGCCGGTGTTGCTAATTTTCCGGAAGATCACGGATGAATGAATTTAGCAAGGGTGGTAAGGAAATTGGCCAGCTGAACTCACCGTGAGCTCAAATACCTTTGTAGATAAAGATCTGAGCCAACTTCAAAGGAATTAACCTAGGGAAGTAGTGAATGGGCACATCTGTGCTAGACAGGAAACTCGTATCATCCGTCGCCAAGGTGTACAACATATCGGGTTCAGAAAGCCCACTGCAGTGATATAGTTAAATTGACACCTTTAGCTGGATCGTGTAGTTGTGGCTCATTTAAATGGTTTTGAGGCAACCACTTGTCGCGTTCGTTTCGTCGCTTCGGCTGACGAAGCTGCTGTGCCCCCCTACGCCATCACTCTCGGCGTCCTTCGTGAAGATGGTGCGTTACATCCTACACCAAGTTAGGGTGAGTTAACTGGACGAGCATCCGTTTGGGAAATAAAACGGCTACTATTCTCATTCATACTTCATACACAATCGGTGTAAACAAGGCACTTCTGATGTACGTTTGCTGTAGTTGGTCCACGGCTGTGTGACTGGACACTTGCTATTACGTCTACTAATTCATCACTGGGCTATACACCTGCTGTGTCAGTAAGAGGCAAATGCGGACATTCTGCTCACTCGTCCAGTGCGACCGACCCAAAAATGGCGCTATGGGAGAGGGAATGCAAGATCCGCGTGACCTTACTACACCATTTCCCGGCTAAGTTGTCCTCTTGGGCAACAGAAATACTCTGAAGGGGCGTTCAACATGAGTCTACTCAATTAATTTGTTCCATGCGCAGGAGCTGAAGCGTCCCACCTGCACACCTATGACTTAGTATGTCTGAGGTCCAATTGGCTGAAGGCAACAGGCTATACACGCATGCCTACACAACTGCACAAGTGACTGGCGTACGCACGGAACAAATTAATTGAGTAGACTCATGTTGACTGCCCCCTCAGATTATTTCTGTTTCCCAAGAGAACAACTTGGCCAGGAAATGGTATAGAATTAACGAATGGGCGCCGCCCCAGTCTCACCCCTCCCCCCAAATCACACATCATCGAGTGATTAGCAGGTATCTAGGCAATGCGAGCCAGAAACTCCAAAACTGAGCACATGCTTATTTTGGTTTATTGTTTGCGGTCTGTGCGCGTTGTTATATCCCTATAGTGAATTCAACCACCAGTAGATGATAAGCTGATTGAAGAAATGTAGCCAGACACAGATGCAAACGTGCCTTCTATCCCAATTCATTGTAAGCTAATTCCTTCTCGTTTGTACTGGCTACTGGTGAGACAATGCACCTCACCCAGTCCCTGTGATGTCGCAGGTACCCTGTGGTTGATCGGACCTATGGGGTCTGCTATTTCCAAAATACTAGATGTCCTCTATCACCGTTACTGTTTTATCATCGAGTGACCAGAAAAAGTCGACATACAGTACATTTCATGGCACGAACTTTTATATGCAATAGATATGCCCACTTGACGGATATTCATCTCAAGTATGTGTTTATTATTGCATATCTTTCAGGAATGGGACGTCCAGGAAAGGGTCATTACTGGACAATCGATCCTACAGCTGAGTATATGTTCCAAGATGGAGCCTCTCGGAGACGTCCTCGAGGATTTCGCCGCAAGTGTGCCTCTGCTGTAGCAGCTGCTGTCGCCGCCAACATCTCTTCGGCAAACGGATACGCTCAGCTACCTTATGGCGCGAACTCCAGCGGCGGTAGCAACTTCAGTACAATGAACAACAGCCAAGAAAGCAATAATCTCCCCTCTGGTTATAAATTTCCTCCTACGCACTTCTCTTCAGTAAGTTTAGGCCCCTTAAATGGAAACACTTTGACCAAGGAGATGACGCAGTTTTTCGGGCCTAACAACTTTTCCTTGACACGTGGCAACAATACGTCGTTGCATCCTGTTGAATTCGGGCCCCTCGGTGGTCTACCTCCCATGTCCTCCTGCGTTACATCTCTGTCCATGAACTCCGGCAATCCTGCTTTGGGTGGTGATGAGACAGACAGCATAGAACCTTCATCCTCCTCCGCAACATTAGATAGTATATTTAGCTTCCACTCGAGCCTAAATGGCATGGTACCCGGCTTATGCAACAATCATTCTTTCAACCCAACTATGGATACAGCCAGGCAGCGAGCAATGAATCATAATTGTTCGTCATCTCCGGCGCGAGCCTCTAAAACACGCGTTAGGCGGCAGAGATCCCCATTCGTGCCTGTAACATGTTGCAATGGTAACAGTGGTGCCTGTCCGGCGGAAGTACTAGATTTCCATCCACTCCGCGCACATGAACAACAAATTCTCCATCAACCTCCCACGGCCTACCAACTCCCTTCCATCTACCAGGCGATTACATTCGGTTTACCAAATACAGGGAATCACCAGATAGAGAATTCGAACTCTGCGCTTTACGGGCTACCAAATATTGACCCTTCAGTATCCAACGAGTTGTCTTGTCCATATGCAATTCGACCTGGGTTCGACACGTTTATGCCGTCAGATACAAACCCCATAGCAGTTCAGCCGCCATCCAATGCAGAGGATATACTCAAAACGCATCACATCTATCCGGATGCACTGCGTGTGAAGCATCAATTGATGTGCCAGCTGTCTGACCCCCCTGCCTCTCCGAAGCCACAGTTTGAAGAAACCGGGCTGAGTACCTTTCAAACCTGGACGTACAACACTAGTAAGCCACCTCTGCAAGAAGAGTGGACCTCCTATGCACAATGCGCAGCTCCTATTGCGCTCAGAACTGACGTCGATTCCTTAGCGAACAACCACGCTCTTAGGAGCGTAGTCAGTCCATCTCAATCAGCCGAGGTTGCTCCACCTAGCGACGCAAATTCCATCAGTAATACTTCTTCCTCTCACAGATGGTCCCCGTCCGATCTGGCCGTCATGGTGGCGAGTTACGAGGCCGCACTGTACGCCTCCACCTCCAAATCAGTTTCCTGTTCTGTTTCACCCCCCTCCTCGGATATGGACAGACGTTGTGAGGTTGGCGCTATGTCCCCGCATATGTATTCCTCTCAACCGAATCCCGCACTCGGAGCGGGATTGTCAGTGGAGAGCGCGAAGACGGTGTTGAATAGTTTGAACCAGCAGTTGCAGCACGGGTTGCATGACTCCGAGTGCGTCGGCCCTGATCAAGCTCGCACACCGATCAAACTGGATCTATGTCCTGACAAATCCGGCATAAACAATACACGAAGTGGGTCTTTTGTTGCAAACGTTCACTGATTTGGTTTGATCGAAGTACCACCTAAAGAGATGGTTGTATGCTTTTTTCCTAACGAGCTGTGAGCCGCTGTAATCGTAACAAAAAGTTTTCCATTTTACGTTTAAAGGTGCTTCGTGCATTAAATGAGTGGTTAGCTCTGCAGTCAAATTCAATGCATATCTCAGTATGCTTGGCTATTGTTCTGCCTTCACTCAAGCAACTGAACAGCTCTACCGACGATGTGTTGCTTTGGTGAACGCTCGTCTTGCAGCTCATTAGTGGCGGAAATTTCTCCCGTCTGCAGAGTGACGTCGCCTGTGGAGCAATTCTGTTGCCTGTAAACGTTGTGTCTTGGGATTTGATAATAGCATGGTCTATACGGACCTCAGTTTCATGTAGATCACCAAATGATGGAAATGTTCAGTAAAACATTAGCACAGAAAGGGATTGCCGCTGGTACTAACCCTGTCCACTGCAGCGCGGTCTATGACCATTTATAAGCAGAACCAGCGGCGCTGTACACCTCCGGGCTGTTGGCTGGTGTCTTGTTCTACTTGTCACATATGAACTTGACAGGTGCAAAAAAACCAGTTCGATTCTTCATTCGACTAAAGAAATGCATAAACCAAATTAGCTCCAACATGGAAGTCCACTGTAGTATCGGGTGTTTAACAATGACCCGATGCAGCCAATTTGGAACGGATGTTAGTTACAAAATTTTATCCAGTTGGGAAGAGCGCACGAATTCGGTGTCATGTATGCTTTCTTACAACACCCTATTCTCCACCACATTTACACTCCCTTCTACGGTTGACGCACACCATCTTGCACCCTGGTTCACCAATCTTGTAAAGTAGCCGTGGATTTTATGTATGCCTCTTGCAAGATAGATGGACAAAACAATGGTCATTCAATTTGTCCCCTTAAACACGGATAGCTCGGTGCACATGTGTGGTGTCCAAAAACGAAACCCGAAGTCATCCGACATCAATATAAAATGTAGTGATTCAGTCTAACGTAGTTCGGCATGCACAGGCACCAAATGTGAATCCATGTGGTGACATTAGCTTCAACCGAACCGGAATGAAATCATTATGCACAGCTGTAGAGTCACAACGAGTGCACACAGTACTTGTGAACACAAATGGTTTGGGATACGAGTGACAGTATGGAAAAGACTATGTTTCATTTCAATAATCAGAAATTGCACTACAGTCACGATACACTTTAAGCCATTAGTTCCATTAACTCATCCTGTTCATCTGTGAACAATATAACCAGTTAGAAATTATGCATCCAAAGTCACGCTTATCATTCAGCGAAACAAGACAGCACTGCTCTCGAACGGAATGTTACACGAGTTCGTGGATGTAGATGGCCGCCTGCTGCCAGACGTTTGCTTGGGCTGAAATTCTTCCCGTAACGAATGTAAAACGAAGTGGGGTCAGCGGGATGCTGACTGAGGCCCCAAATGCTTGTGTAGCACATGTGGCTAGCGTTTCCGGTTAAGAAAGTAGATGCGGGCTGTGTTACATCCTATTGGTAGAGGGTAGAGCTGTCATATCAGCCTGGTAATTCAGTCATTCGAAAAGAAACAATAATAAATAAACAGTTCGACACTTGACAAAAACTGCCGCTGATACGCCCTTTTATTCTAGATTATTCCTAGGATGTGCGACACGTGAGACTACTGACGGTGCAGTTAGTAGGCACGTATAGTGCGAACTTTGAGGTTGGTGACTGCATTTCCGTTCGTAGTTGCGAGTGTCAGTAGAACAACTAATTTTCTTCCTGTTCACAATTGGGATTTGAGCACATTCCTCGCCAGTCATTACACCGATTGTACCACTAGAACAACGTTTGACATTGACGAACCTGGAATATCGACGACCAGGAAACATGCTGTTTATAGCACATCAATCAAACGTCTGTAGCTTTTAGTCTATTAAAATTTTTTATTAATTCCGGGGCTGTTTTGTATCTTAGGTGGCTTGCCTCACCTGATTGTTGTGGGTGCGCGGGTTGCATTAATCCATGCGTGTGTGTTACATGTAGCATATGTTGTACAGTTATCGAGCGATTTCTGTTCGTATACTGTTATTCGCTTGCTCACAGCGTTCATGGTATGCTAGAGTTTTGGTTTCTGCGGTTTTCACTCATACCTGGGCTGTGATTGAAAACTAATCCTTCTTTCTCAATTTAGATATCAACACCGTTCGGTTGCACAGTGGCAGTGATTTCCAAAGAACTCTCACGGATCAAGTTGTTCGGCATTCCGCTCCAATGACCACCTCCGTATGACATCGCTAGACGTGTCGATTGGTGAACATGACGACGCCAAAGACACTCTATGTGACCGACCGTTTCAGACGGTCCACATACTATGGTGAAAAAGGAGCACTGCTTATTGATGAACTCTGTGTGCCCCGGGTGCCGTGCAGGTGATACACACACACACACACACACACGCACACAGATACACTACGCATACTTTGTAACAGCACTTTGATTGTGCTCCTTCTATTTCTGTCTCCTACGAAGAGGCTAGTTGTACAATGTTTCCCCTCCCTCTCGCAAACACGAAGTAAGCCAGTGAGGTGTCTTTGATTGGCCAACGTTTTTGCCTTTGTGTGTGTGTGTGTGCCCTCTTTCAAATGCATCTGTCCACATGCTTTCGCTTAACTTATCATTCAGCCTTTCCATATGCGTGTGCGCTAATTTTGAGGGACATCATTCCCGGGACCTGTTGAGGTTAATTTGCATTGGGAATGAAGAGCCACTTTTGACTTGCCCGTAGGTTTTGTTCACCTGTGCCCAGTGTGGGCCTCTGACATAAAATCCTGAAATACCCACCGCACAGTTGTCATCACCACATGGACCATACACTTTCAACACAAAGGGCCGCATGAGTTACATTTGTTGCCCCGAGGGCCTCATACGGCAACAAAAAATGAAGCACATTTATTGGATTGGCGTTATGTGTGTCCGGCTTCCATGGGGAAAACCACAGGACGCCTGCGCCTACAGAGGTACCATGGATGGTTTTGCCGCGCCACCGACAGCTCCATCCATTCACCCCATTCCCAGTGTAAACCCGAAGGAATAAGACCGGGAGGCGTGTGGATGGGAGCCATGTTTCATCAACGGAGCCGGCCCACACTCCTTCACTATGCACACCAACAACATTCCAATCAGTCCTATTTGGGAATCATCCGTACTAGGCGTATACAAGGCGGTGGTTCGGCCGTTGTCCAGTTCACATTAGATGCGTGGAAGCACTCTTTGAGCCTAGCACCCTCACGAGGACCGTGCAGCCGGTCCCCTCCAGCACCGACCACTTGATTGGTAATATGTAGGTAAGCACCTTGTCAACATTCACATTAAGCATAGCCACCCCGGAGATAGCAATCAACAACCAACCCCTAAAATGCAAGAATCTCAACACGCAGGCCCACGCACAGACCAACTACAAGGATGATGCGGCACACGTACCCCATCAACCGCATCATTGATCTGGAATAGTAACTTGAATCGGAAGCAGCGAACTTACAAAGCGCCACGATGAAGATGACTACACATTTAGCATACTCGTTTTCTCATAGACGTTGGCCCAACGTGGCGACGCTGATGGCTTACCAAACCGCTTAGCTAGGGCAGTGGCGATCGCATGTGCTACAGCACAATGCGCTCGGCGTCCATGGAGTACACATCATAGACGTCTGTCGCTTTTTCGACTGACTTATCTATTCCGCACGCAGTAGTTATGTTTATTGCACCTGGGCAACCGCTCTCTTGATATGCTCTCGCCATCTGCGCCGATCCAGTGCCATCGACTCCCAACACGCAAAATCAACATTAGTTGTCATAAACTCACCTTGATCATGGCCTAGTAACGTAACTTCGGTTTTCCCAGGTGCCGCTTCGCTGCACGCAGTTGGCCACAAAGCCGCTGTTTCGGTAATTGGGTCGAATCCACGCGGCGAATATGCCCGAGCCACCACAGCGGCCGCAACAGAAGTACACACTCCACTGCATATATGTCACTGTGCCTCAGCACTTCCGTGTCCGTAACTCTGTCGCACCAAACGAACGCAGAATGCTTCGCAAACACTGCTGATAAAATCGCGCCAAATATGTGACGTACTTCCGGTACATCGGCCAGTTTTTGCTGCTCCAATGGAAGAACGGGCGGCACCAACAACTTGTATACCATCAGCTTCGTTCCAACGGTTAGCTGGTGGTTGTTCCACACATGCTTATCCAGCTTTTCAAATACGGCAACCGCCCTCGATAAATTCGGATGCGCACCTTGAACGTTATATGCAGTTTGGTTGATAGTACGCTCACAAAGTAGAAAGATTTCGATACTGTTTCCAACACGTCATCGGCAATGTGCATTTGGGGTAGGCCCATGAATTCCATTTCAGATGTAGACTGCGAAAGACAAAAATCCTGATTGTGTTGATGGTGAGCCCGAAATTGGCTGCTATTGAAGCCAGAGCACAAGTCATGTGCTGCAACTCATCTGCGCTGTGCGCAGACAACCCATACTTGTGGGCCAACAGCAACACGCGGATGGTTGTCTCACACACCATAGTTCTCGCCCCGAAACAATGGATGTTCAGCAACCCACCATCAATATGGTGTTACCCATGCATACCGTAAACACAAGCCGCATCAAAAGCGTAATGCATCATTGCGTGAAAGTAAATAATCTACAAGGCAGGGGCTAAGACACAGCCTTGCTTCACACCAGAGAAAACTTCAAAATCACCTGCGTTTTGTCCACTCAGCTAAACTCTCGCCCGCATACCACTGAGCAGACATTCAATTAAACCTACAAACTTACTCGAACAGCCAGTCATACCCAACATCATCACCAACACAATGTTCCGCGGTTCACCGTTACAAATGCCTTGGCGAAATCAACAAACAGCGATTACAACGGCTGGTGTGCTTCTCTGCACTTTCCCGCCACTGACGAGCCACAAACACCACAGCTATACTGATGCGATCCGAACGGAATCCACATTGCTCTCCCGCCATGTTCGGTTCCATAACCTGACTGACGAGGGGTTGATCAGGATTCGGGCAATCACCTGGCCCACAAAACTCAGCAAGTTGATGCCACCATACTTCGTACAAAATTGCTTGCTCCCTTTGCCCTTGTACGGTGGTAGCACAAGGGCATGCTTCAGGCCATACGGCAACGCATTTACCAAAGCAGGTCCGCCGTGTTTCAATACTTTAGGCGGGATCCCTTCGACGTCTGCGCACTTACTGTTTCGCATCTGAGCAAGTACCTTCTGCGTCCCATCCAGTGTGGGTGTGTCGGCAAGGCACATCATCGTCCCTTGCTTTTGCAACCCGTGCAATGTAGTCCAACCAATCTCAGAACGGTTGCCAAAGAGCCGATTGAAGTATGTTCGCCAGATCTGCATTATGTCTACAGTCTATGTGAAGACAGCGCCTGAAGTAACATCGAGCAGTGTCCTCAGGGGCTGCAAGGGTAGGTCTATACACCGCTTTCAAATAATTCCTTATGTCGGCGGCATTTGGCGTAGCATTCCATCTGCTTCACCTTCTTCGTCAACCACGGATTCTGATGCGACGGAATTCTGGAGTCAGTCGCCGTCGAAGTTGGCGTAAATGACTCTCCTTCGCTGCATTGACAGAGTCAAGCACATGTGCAGCGAACGCTGCATTCTTCTCAGACACCAATGCACCAATCATTGCATTGTTCTTCTCAAACCAATAGGGCTGCTTAAAGTTTGTGCGCCCGATGATTTCTTCGGCGGCAGCAGACACCCGTTCAAGGATGTGAATCCCCAGACCACTCACTGAGGTGACTGATTCGATATCAACAAGGAGGGGAGCTCACACTTTCGCCATTTCCATGCTGTTCTAAGCATTACCTAGGGAACAACGTAATGTTTCCGCCGGTTTACGACAGAAGTGCAATACGTCAATTTACGAAAATATATGTACAACTTGATTCGTACCAACTTGTGATCAGAGCTATACTCAGCTCCATTCAGTTTACGCGTTATGCACATTTTACGTATGTCACCCTGACGTACGATGATATAGTCGAACAGGTGAGCGTGACCACTCCATGCGTGCGTCCAACTTGCTATATCACTCGCACGCAGTGCAAACCGAATATTCCTGCTCGTCAGGCCGTGAGTGGCCCACAGTGAGGGTAGCCGCTCACCGTTCCCATTGTATATGACAGTGCTATGTGGACCGACTATATCTGTCCACAGCGAGGCATCGCGCCCGACGCGCGCATTGAAATCACCCACTCGGCACAGACCGTATCATGGCGGACAAGTTAGTGTATAACTGATCCCTAGTGTCCTCAGGATAACACATGATGGGGTAATACGTGCTATTGAAAGTAGCAAACGTTCCTTTTCTATGTCGCATACGGAGAGTCATCAGTCGTGTGCTGACGCCAGTCGGCTCTGCCACAAGCTGGCCATTTAAGCGGTCGAATAGTGCAAATCCGACTCCATGTTCATGTGATGCTTTGGTGGCGTTGCCCACCAAATTGAACGTGTAACCAGCACCAGCCTCAAGCAGCATCCTTTACTCAGCTAGCCGAGTCTTGCTGAGTGCAGCAATATCCATCATGTAGCGCGCGATTTCCAACACAACCAGTGCAGTGCGTCGCTCGGAGCGCTCATTCGAGTTCCGGTCCAGCAGTGTGCGCACGTTCCAATGGCCGAGGTTGAGCGCTTTGCGCGGAGGCAAGCGATTGCGGTGGCAGACAATCGCTCGTGTGGTGGCATATGTTGGAGGAATTAGGAGGTTAAGTGAAATGTGGACGGGGAGTAAGTGCAGCTGAAGGAAAATGAAGGGAGGCGGTATGTAAAAGCTGCTGAGTACTTAGATGGCATCCATGTTGCATCTTGGACATTTACAAAACAATGCGAACGCTGTGTTGAAAGCCGCATGTTTGACGGTGGGCAGCGGGACTTAGTTGATGTAGTACTGCGGTTGTTGTCGTGCCAACGAGACCATAAGCGGCGAATGGGTGATATTACCTGTCAATGTTTAAGGTTACGCCAAAGACGTTCTTTGAAAATCCGCACAAACCTCGAGCAGCAGATGAGCGGACCGGACAAGTCTTAAGCGGCGGGCGGTGATACGGAGAGCCTGAAGTGAACACAAGGCATTCGCAGACTGTGCGATCTCCTCCATCAGATTCGCAAGCCAGACTTCATATATAGGAGGCAGTACTTCAATACACAATATTTTATTTTACCTTTTGTTTATTTCCCATTCTACCTGCTAACCGTACTGATGGAACTTGTACCCCTATTCCTATATCGGTTCCGTTCAAATATTGCTGCTCATGTTGTGAAGATGTCATTCATGTTCACGTTTACATGTTAAAGAAAACACCGACAGTTCGTATTGGGTACTTATTCTCGTGTGTGAGATTTCCCAAACGAAACCCAGACACGTTTATAGTACTATTGTTCATGAGGTTTAATGCATCTCTTCAGTTTGTGGTAGTACATACTTGAGTTTGGACAAACGCATGTGCATATGTTGTATTCGAAATGCCAGTGGGCACGGATGCCGCCAATCCATGTATATATGTATAACGAATGAATTCGACGAGGATCCTCAGACAGCTTTTGTACGATCAACCTAGTGCAGGGAAGCAGCACGCGGGCAAACCGACATTACGCTACCAGGATATGAGGAAGGTGCGTTTGCCACGGACTAATGTTGATTTCAGGTTTTGAGAAGCAAAGGCCGAGTTGAAAGGTACGAATACCGTGGATTGATCAAGAGGGCGGTTGCCCAAGTGCAGAAGACATTATTACACGCGGAGAAACGC